CCCCTGGGGCGGGGCCAATTTTGACCCCAGGGCTTTTATTTGAACAAACTTGGTAGAAACCCAATAGAACATGTTTCATGCTAAATATCTTAGCTCTAGCTCTTTCAGTTCTTTTAAAGAAGATTTTTTAAGTTTTTACTATATACATATAGGGAAAATCAATGACCCCCTGGGGCGGGGCCAATTTTGACCCCAGGGCTTTATTTGAACAAACTTGGTAGACACTCACTAGAAGATGTTTCATGCCAAATATCTAAGCTCTACCTCTTTAAGTTTTTTAAAAGAAGATATTTAAAGTTTTTTCTTTCGGTTGCCATGGCAACCAGAGTTCTGCATGGAATTGAATTCTTTGAAGAATTTTTAAAGGTGACCACCAAAGGAACATTCTTGTGAAGTTTTGATGAAATTGGCCCAGTGGTTTATGAGAAGATGTCATTTAAAGTAAAAGTTTACGGATGGACGCCGGACGGACGCCGGACGAAAAGCGATCATAAAAGCTCACCCTGTCACTTTGTGACAGGTGAGCTAACAAAAGGACAATTACTCAAAAAGATAAGAAGATGCACTGCAGTTCAGGTCATTGAAAGAAGCAGGCATACCAAGTTTGGAGTCAATCTGAATTATAGTGTGGAGACCCTTTCATTAAATTGAGTTATTTTAAGTAACAGTATAAACTCATGTACACACCAATACTTGGCATAATTATAAGCAAATATAAAATATAAAGGAATCTCTAAAATAAAACAAGTAAATGTTTCTTCTCATCTCAATGAAAACAAATATATATATATACACCATTTACTTGTCCTTTATGTCATATAATCATATTTATCATATCACTGGAAATAAAATATACTGTTCCCCTGTCTATATATCATATTACTGGTATTTATAAATACGATATCCTTGTCATATATATCATATAACTGGTATTTTTACAGAATATTCACTTCTCCTACATTCATATAACTGTATTTTTATAGACATTCACTTCTACATTCATATTACTTGTATTTATATATACCATATCCTTGTCATGTTTATCATATAACGTTTATTTTTTATATATACCATATGCTTGTCATATATATCATAAATCTGGTATTCATATATACCATTCAATTGTCCTTTATATCATATAACTGGTATTCATTTGTATACCATCCCTCGTCCAATATATCATATAACTGGTATTCATATCAGAAGACCATTCCCTTATCTTATATATCATATAAATGGTATTCATATATACCATTCACTAGTTCTATATATCATATAACTGGTATTTATATAATACCATTACCTTGTCTTATATATTAAATAACTTGTATTTGCATGTTACATTAATCTTATACTTTCTGACCTTGTACAATTAACATCTGTTTCATCAGATTTCAATTTTACTTATTAATTTATACACTTGTTTATTTACATATCTATTTGTATTTATAACTAGAATATTACTTTTTTCAAATCAGTTTTTTTTTCACAAACTATACCTGATCTTTAAAAAAAAATAACCTTTACCCTTACTAAGATCAATATATCTATAATATTTCACTTCATTTTTTTTTATTTTTTTTATTCATAAACACAATTTGAATGTTATTTTCTTCAATTTCAATTTTATAAATGCATTTTGTTAAAATGACCAGAAATCAATATTAAACAACTTAATATTTTGCATGATTTTTAACTTGTCATTAGTATCATTTGAAAATAAAGAAACAAATTCATGTCATTTTAACATAAAATAATTCAGTTTAAACTGCAAGTATCCTATATCACTGACCATATTTTTGTAAAAAATGAAGAAAAAACACATTTATCATCACTTTTTACTTTGACTAATTAAGTTTAAACACTACGTTTACCACATAAAATTCAAACCAAAAGTAATCATTATGCTTAACATGTAAATTACATGTACCTTACCTTTTTGTTGAAAAACAAAAGAATGCTTCATCACCTTTAACATGAAATAACTGATTCTTATCTTTTACATACTGTATAGCATCATTTCCCTTCCCTCCTCCAAGTCCTTGTGATATCAATGTAGAACTATCATATAACTCATCACCATCTTCTGTTATATTACAGTACATTAAACTCACATCTACAGTATGGGGAATACTAGGAAGACTATCAACAAATTTCTGCCATGTTGTCAAACTCATTATTACATAAACAAGCTTAATGTCCTTTAAACTTTTCATCTCTAAAGGTAACTGTATTATATTGTCAGTTAAACTACAATACCATAACTCAAGCTTACTGAGATTGTGTAACAATGGTAATACTGTGACTAGTCTCTCTGTTATATTGGCATGATATAATTGAGGTTTACTGAACTTATCATCATACAACACAAGTTCTTTTAATTTGTAAGATTGTTTAATAATATCAAATATTTTCTCATAACTACTATCTTTTAACTCACTAAATTTAAATATTTTAAGGTTTTTAGTATCAACATCTATCACTCTAACAGTATTTTCCAAATGAAGGTAATGAAGTTGTTGATGTTTTGAAAAATTAAAATCATGCTGGTTATGACATTGACAATAAACATTGCCAAGATAAATTTGTTCAAGATGACTGGTTCCCTCAAGAAAATTACAGAATGTAGTAGTATCATCATGACTCATTCTTATACAACTCATTCTTATTGCTACAAGATTGACCATACTAGGTAGGTTACTAACAACTGTTTTACCCAGTGGGTAATACTTGCCAGTGAAAAGGGTATTATTTTGGAGAGACAGAGATTTTAATGTTAAAGTATTTACTTTTATTGTCTCAGAAACACAATTGTTTATCTCATCAATCGTCTGTTCATTACTCTGTTCATTACTCTGTTCATTACTCAGTGTAAAATCTATTTGTATACTGAATAAACTGTATGTTATTGCAATTTTTTCAATATGATGAAAAATTGGTAAATATTTTGTAAATTTAACATTTTTAATGTTGATTTCATCTACATTAATAGACAGAACAGAGTCAGGAACAATTTGATGCTGATCAATGCTTGAACAAACAATATCACAATTACTGATTGAATGTTATCAAAAATCAAATCTCCTATATAAAACACAGGATTACTTCCTTCACTTACATGGTGCATTTGATTCTTCTATTAACTCAATAATAAGCTTTTGAATATCACGTTAATACAACTATCAACCATATAAAAGTCACTTCTTATTGTTCTCCTGTTATTCCTGAACACGAGAGTCTTCTGATACAGTATTCATATATGTAAATTTTGAAACAGGTGTTGCTAATCTAGGTCTAGACCACATAAGCATAATGAAAACATTTGACTGCTCTAATATGTCATTTACTGTTTGAACATTTCTGAAAAATCTCATTTAATAAACTTTTTTTTAATTCAACACTTCCTGTACTACCTGATGAACCAATATTTGTATTAAAATTAATAACCAATGTAGACTGCCAGCCCAGAAAATTCTTGCATTGACTTGTGAAAAAAGAGAACAATTTGAGCTTGGTGTTTCTTGATACAGACAAACTTGGACATTTCATTCTTCTGTAATTTATTTCCAAGTTTTCAAACAATTTCTCTTACTTCATCTGGATATTTCCCTAGTTCATCAAACATACAAATGTCAAATGACAAGGACTTATTCTGTAGGACAATTAAAAATAGTGTCTTCAAAAGCCAACTGGACACTTCATAATCAAATCTGTCTGTTTAATCTTAATTTGGTTTTATCTCGCTAAATATTGAGGGGGAGGTTTTTACATTTTCTGGGTACCCTTTCATTGAGTCGAATACTTGTTACTGTAGTTTTCATTGTCATTTCCAGGTGAAGAATAATTCTAACATACTGGTATTAGATGGCCACACTCTTGAGGTTTTATCGAGTTTACCATCAAACCATAGACATATTTTAGTGTTGCAGCATAATTGGTACCTGTTTTAAAACTTTTCAGAGACATTTCTTTGAGCTTTTTTCCCTACAGTCTCTAGCTTCTTTTATTAGCTTGTCTTCTAACATTTAATTGTGAGACTGTCCTATATACCATTTCTCTTTCACATCTAAAATCAAACCCATTCAGTTTCAGTGGACTGTTCGATCTTCCGCATCACTTGATCTTAATGTATGAAATTTCCATGGCCGTTGAAGTAGTTACTATTGTGTACTTCTTAAAGATGCTATGTTTTGGGACATTTTCAGATGACCATTCATCTAAGCCATCAAGCAAAATGATAAACTCTAGAAGATTCTTCTTCAAGAAGTGTGTTTAACATTTTCATTTGATAACGTTGTTGAAGCATTTCATCAATAGTGTTAATGTTTTGATACTGTCTAAGAGGGATGTAAAATAAAAAAAATCAAAATTTTTTTTCAGCTCTTTTTACACCATTGAATTTAAGTTCATAACTTTATTGTCATATTCATAGTCATCACTGTCGGATTCAGAGTCTGTCCCAAGTCACCATCAGAGTCATCACTGTATAATTCAGAGTTTGCTACGTCATTACTTTCACCCTGAATGTCATCACGGTCACTTCCATGTTTCTTAATGCCACCCATGTGTTTTTCATTTTCAATATCTCCTCCACGTTCCTTGTTTAACCTCTTCATTTACAATGTTCACTTCCATGTTCTTTATGTTTCTCATCACCACCTTCATTTTGATTGCCACCTCCATGTTTTTTCATGTTCTTCATTGTCACCCCCATGCTTGTCATTGCCACCTTTCATTTTTACCGTCATTTCTATATTTCCCACTGCTATCTTCACTTTTCTTTTTCATTTTTCATGTTTCTTATTATCATCTCCATGATTCTTCATTATTACGTCCATGTTTTTCATTTCCGCCCTCATGCTCATTTTTATTGTCAGCTTTCATTTTCATTGCCACCATTCATTTACATTATCTACCCCATGTTCTTCATTATCACCGTCATGTTCTTTATTTTCACTCCATGTTCTTCATTGTCGCCTCCATGTTTTTCATTTCTGGCCCCAATGCTCCTCATTTTTTATAGTCAGCTTCATTTTTATTATCACCTCCATGTCCTTTATTATCACCTACATGTTCCTTCATGTTCACCTCCATGTTCTTCATTATCACCTCCATGTCCTTTATTATCACCAACATGTTCTTCATTATCACCTTCATGTTCTTCATTGTCACCTCCATGTTCTTCATTATCACCAACATGTTCTTCATTTTCACCTACATGTTCTTCATTATAAACCTTCATGTTCTTCATTGTCACCTCTATGTTCTTCATTGTCACCTCCATGTTCTTTCCATTATCATCTCCATGTCCTTCATTGTCACCTCCATGTTCTTCATTTATCACCCCCATGTTTTTCATTGTCACCTCCATGTTCTTCATTATCACCAACATGTTCTTCATTATCACCCCCATGTTCTTCATTTCACCTACATGTTCTTCATTATCAACCTTCATGTTCTTCATTGTCACCTCCATGTTTTTTCATTTCCTCCCTGGTCCTAAATTTTCAAAATTGATTAGCTTCCCTTCTTTGTTCACTAAATTGTGGCCATAACACCAACAGGGGACTCCATGGTTATTTACAAAAACTAGGGGGGTTTTTCCTTACCCTGCCATCCTAGAATATTTTAAACCAAATTTTGGGGCTCTTAATTGTGAAAAAAATTTCAGGACATGTTTTAACCTCCACTTCCTTTTTCTTTTGCCCTTTTTCTTCTTTCTTTTCCCTCATAATTTTTGGGGCTAAATTTTTTAAAACTCAAAAAAAAAACCCAACCATTTTTTCCTTTTTGGGTTTAAAGGTATTGGGGAGGAACCTGCACCCGGGTTTTTTTTATGAATTATTCCCAAAACGCCCCCTTTTTCCGCCCCTTTTTTGTAATTTAAATTTATAAAAAAGTTTTCCAAAAGGTAAAAGGGTTTAATGGTAAATATTACAGAAATATATTAAAGGGAAAAGGCAATACAGCACTGAGGGCCTCCGTGAATTATAAAGACAAACTAGAAATGTTTGTGTCCATAGGACACTGTTTGAGCGTTGCCCCCACCGTGCCACTGTTATGTTCAATCTTATGACTCTATGGTTTGAAAAATATTTTGTCAATGAATGAAACTAAACAATCTTTTACTAAGTAAAGGGCAAGAACTTTACAAATACTGAAAAAATCCACAAGCAAACCCCAAGGAGCATAAGTACATATGCTGACCAACATTTCTTGTAAACTTTCAGGCCTACAAGTGAAATACTTTTTGGGCTATGCATAAACAAGTTGAAAAATTGCAAAATTTATACTTCTGTAAGTCAAGGGCAATAACTCTATTAAACAAGAGCACCGCCTAGGCGGAGCATTATATGCCCGATGGTGATTTTTTTTTTTAGTAAAGATAAGGCATTTGTAAGACATGGGAGTAAAATAAAGTATTAACCTCCTTCAAATAACAATCCTCCTTTGAAGTTTCAATATTGTGGTCCAAATGGAACTTTAAGTTATGCCCCAGAAACTGTTTTCAATTCTAAGGTTAAAGTTGACCTTGACCTTTGACCTTGTGACCCCAAAATCATTAGGTTTCTTCTACCCAATATGGACAATCATAACTATGAAGTTTAAACACAGTAGGCCAAATGCATACTTAAAGTTATATTCCGAAAACTGTTTTCAGTTTTTAAGGTCATAGTGACCTTGACCTTGTGGCCCAAAATCAATAGGGGTCTTCTACCTAATATGGACAATCATCCTATGAAGTTTGATCACTGTGGGCCAAAAAAAACTTAAGTTATGCTCAAGAAACTGTTTTCAGTTCTAAAGGGTAATAGTGACCTTGACCTTTGACCTTGTGACCCCAAAAATCAATAGGGGTCTTCTACCCAATATGGACAATCATCCTATGAAGTTTGATCACTGTGGGCCAAATGGAACTTAAGTTTATGCTCCGGAAACTGTTTTCAGTTTTAAGGTCATAGTGACCTTGACCTTTGACCTTGTGACCCCAAAATCAATAGGGGTCTTCTACCCAATATGGACAATCATCCTATGAAGTTTGAACACTGTGGGCCAAATGGAACTTTAAGTTATGCTCCGGAAACTGTTTTTCAGTTTTAAGGTCATAGTGACCTTGTCCTTTGACCTTGTGACCCCAAAATCAATAGGGGTCTTCTACCTAATATGAACAATCATCCTATGAAGTTTGAACACTGTAGGCCAAATGGAATTTAAGTTATGCTCCGGAAACTGTTTTCAGTTTTTAAGGTTATTGGTGACCTTGACCTTTGACCTTATGACCCCAAAATCAATAGGGGTCTTCTACCCAATATGGACAATCGTCCTATGAAGTTTGAATATTGTGGGCCAAATGGAACTTAAGTTATGCTCCGGAAACCAAATTGCTAACGGAAGGACGGACAGACGGACGGACGGACGCCAGGGGGTATAACATAATATGTCCGAAATTCTTTCGGGCATATAAAAATGAAAAAAGTCCCAGGTGCATAGCTTCACAGTGATGTGAATCATTATTCCTGTAATTTAGTGATGTTGATCATTATTCCCTGTAAAGTTGGTTGATTCTAACTCAAGCACTCAAAGAACAAATAACAACATAATAAAACGGTTTTTACTAAGTCAAGGGAAATAACTCTACAAATACTGGATAAATCCACAAGCAAAACTAAATATGCTGAGCAACCTTCCCGTAAGGTTTAATGACTCTATGTCAAATCCTTTTTGAGTTACATGTGACACAAGCAGAAAATTGCAAAAAAAATTCTAACTCAAGGGCAATAACTTTAAAAATACTAAATAAATCCAGACAAAAATACCCAGGTGCACAACTACACATGCTGATAAATATTTCACGAAAGTCTCATGACTCTAGGTCAAATACTTTTTGAGTTACGTGCGACACAAAAGAGAACTGACGGACGGAAGGACAGATGGATGGAAGGACAGACAGAAAGAAGGACGGACAAGGGTAAATCTAATTGCCCGTCACTAAAGTGGGGCACAAAAATCAGTCAGACTGAAGCTAGTCAACAGAGAGTCACTGTGATACATCATACCTGATTTAGCCTTTTCATATTTGATACACAATATCTGATTTAGCCTTTTCATATTCTATACAAATACCTGATTTAGCCTTTTTGTATTCTATACAACAAACTTTGATTTAGCCTTTTCATATTCTATACCACATATCTGATTTAGCCTTCTCATATTCTATACAAAATACCTGATTAAGCCTTTTCATATTCTATACAACAAACCTGATTTAGCTTTTTCATATCCTTTAAAAAATACCTGATTTAGCCTTTTCATATTGTATACAACATACCAGATTTAGTCTTATCATATTCTATAAAACATACCTGATTTAGCCTTTTCTTATTCTATAAAACATACCGGATTTAGGCTTCACATATTCTATATACAATACCTGATTTAGCCTTTACATATTCTATATAATAAAACTGATTTAGCATTTTCATATTCTATATAACATACATGATTTAGCCTTTTTATAATTATTCTATATAACATACCTGACTTTTTATTTTCATAATTATAACATACCTGATTTAGCCTTTTCAAATTCTAGCTGTTTTTGTTGTGGAGAATCTTCTACTTGGAGTCTTTTTATCTCCTACAACATAAATTATCATACAAATAATTGTGTTTTATTCAGTAATTTTTAATCATTTCTATTTTATACAGTAATATTCTTAGTTTTAGTCAGTCTGTTCAACATACAGTGGCCTAATATATCTCAAGAACATCAAATTTCCTTCATTGAAAATCAATCTTATTGCAATGGACAATTTCTCTACAAAGAATTTTACATTTTGACATTTTTTGGTGCAATCATACATGTACATAATTTTATTATCAATGATAAATATTTATAAGCTGTATTGCCATATTTTCAAGTTTCATGAAAATATTTTCATACCATATTCACCATACTTTTCATCTATTTTTTGCCATAGCAACCAAATTTTTCAACATTATAGAAAGACAAAAACATTATAAATCTCCAGATTGACATCTAGTCATCTCTTAAGTTTCAAATGAACATTTTCAGTACTTTTTGCATTAGCATGGGATCATGTTTTGTGGATTGACATACGAAGGGTAAATCTTTAAAGTCCCTCCCGTTAAACCTGTAGGTGACTACCAACATTGCTTCAGAGACAGTATCTCTCTATGATACAGAGGCTGAAGCACCTCCTGGTGTACCGAGTTCAGATAACATTAGTTTATTATTGATTGAGATACTTGTATCATAATTTTATAGATCTTTTAGGTTTGTTCTGACCTGCGATTTCTTACCATGTGAGGCCATCCTTAAAAAAATGTTTGTTTGCAGTAACGCGACCGAAATTTGCCCCTACTCACAATTTTTTTTCATGGTCTGGATAAAAAAAAAATTTTTTGAATCAGAAAATTATGCCTTGTGCTGTAATGTTTTCGTTCTTTTAAAGGTTAATAGAAGAAATAAAAATGTAGGTCTTATTAAATTAGAATTCAGTTATCAATTTATTAATTGTTACCAGATTATCAAAGCATATATTGTCCAGCATTTTGAAATTCCATGTTTATATGGGAGTACAGTTCAATAAAAAAAAAAAAATCGACCTTAGCCTACCGACCTTGAAAATTCTGGGTCGGGTTACTGCAAACAAACATTTTTTTAAGGATAGCCTGATAGAACAGGACAATATAACAACCTGTGACCATGGAATCCAAGTTTGTATCAAACAAAGAGAGAAACTAATAAAGTGCTTTGGCTTTGATATTTGTATTTATTTGTTGTCCTTAGGATTAGAATTGATAAATAATGTAATACATATGATGACAGTACATAAATTTAAACTTAAGATTGAAATATTAGGGTGTCTTCATTAATGATTCATTACACCTAGACCAGTATTTACTGTTAACTTGAAATTTTATTTCAATTTTTTCAATCTGGAGGCGAGTGCATTTAACAAAATGATTAATGTCCTTATGGTAAATTTTTGTAAAAACAGTTTAACGATATTATTCAAAATGGGATAATATGCGTTACATTTATTTCCATACAATGACAATTTTTTTCTGACTTGTATTATTTTATTATTTTTCTCGTATGTATGATACATTATCATTCAGCGAAATTATTTTCTTAGACATATTATAATTCATTACAGGTGCAAGTTTTTAACCAAGTTTAGAGGACGGAATTTTCCACTATTACAATAAGTCTTTATCCCCATTAAGACAATTACAAAAGAGTATGATAATGGCTTTTACAGAGATATACCCTAAAAATCTGATAAAAATCTGATAATAAGCTGTCTTGAAAACAAGCCTGTCTCAAAAAATAAGCCACCATTTTCTTACAGTCAAAATTTACTTAAACAAGAGCAATGTCAACATGGCCATCCTCGCCGAATGTGTTT